AGTTGTTGTCAGAGAAGGTTTGCCTTTTTTCAAAATAATAAATCAAACCCTGAAAGGGTGATTGATCCAACATTGAGCCCAACTGGGGAAGCTTAAAGGCCGTAAAGAGGATTCTGTGGTGGAAGATACGTCCAATGGCTGTTTGTGTATTTTTAAATTGTGCGCATGCATCAGTGCTCCCTCCTCTGAATAAGTTCTCTACGCTGAAAACGTCTCAGCTGGTGTTTTTTATATAGAATGGTGATGACAGCCAAAGTGGGAAAAGCTATCAAATGAGCAGAGAATATATATCACTGGAAGGTTTTAACTTTGCTTTTCTGTTTGGGTATGCAAAAAGGGGAGGATCACTTATATTTAGGTGGATGTTAGCTACTGAAATTCTGCGATGTTTAAGGGATGTTTTCTTTATTCTAGCATCATTTAGAAAAATAAAGTTAGTGCTAGCGTTGCTAATGAGCTGCACGACTCCTAACGGCTTGAGATAACCTCCAGTCTTTATTTCATAGAGCCTGTGATTGGTTTTCCAGCTAACAGCTAATCGGTTGCTCTCGCATTGTTAGCTTACTGTCATCTTTGTTTTGCGTCTAGAAGAGGGACAGACCCGCTGGTCCATCAGGCAGCGATCTATCCAACTGCAACAGTTCCAGAGAAAATAAAAATAGCTTAAAGTTTCTGCTAACATCATGGCGGGTCAGTGGAGGCTTTGCTCTGACTGTCTGCCTCCTCTCTGCTCTGACTGCCGCCAGCGTTTGCTGCTGAGTCTGATCACCTGTCAGTGCTTTAGAAGTGGGCGGGGCTAACAGCAGCACCCACTGTTTGCTGAGAACTGTAAACTCAGAGCGAAGCAACTAATCGGCTTAATCGCGATTAATCGATTACAGAAATTACTCTTAACTAATTTAGTAATGGTTTAATCATTAACTGGAGTGTAGAGAATCTAAAACGTGCCTTTAGCTGACAGAACGACCCACTTAGAGCAGGAATTATATCAAAATGGTAAAGAAAATATTTAAACATTTTGCATTTAAGATTACAAATCGTTTTCTTCTGCCTATCTGCTCTCTCCAGAACTCCTCAAGTGCAAAAGTTGTTGCAAATGATGTGTTAACATTTCAAAACCTGCTGTATTGTAAAACTGCAGCCTCACTGCTGTTTTTCTAGCATTAGCCGCATCCGCTGTCAACCAATCTTCCTCATTCAGGTCAAGTTGTT